TTTTGTTCTAGACCTAAGGGAAAAAAACTATTGTGCCGGGTTGGATGTGGGAGGGGTGGAAGAGTTGTGTGTGGACTCATCTCCATATAGCAATTACGGCTTGTGTAATTAGTCCCCAAATTCGGGAAAACGAGCCTCTATTCAGAGGAATCCTCCGGGGAGTCTCCCCTGTGTGTGGTGTTGAGCTTGGGCGGCGAGCTCTGTCCCCGGACTTGCGGCGCGGAGGCGGGGCGGGCCCTCCCTAGCCCGTTGGTGTCGGTCGTGTTGTGTGTGTGTTGTTCAGCAGAGTGGCTGTTGTAAGGGGGCAGGCTGTGTCAAACCCCGGGTGTGTGTGTGTAATCCGGGAGCAACGGGAGGCAGCTTCGGAAACTTTCAAGTGCGGGGCCCGCCCTCTATCAAATGTGGGCAAGTCGATTCCCACTCCTCGGGACAGGTGCCCAGACAGAAGATACGCAGAGAGATGAGCGAAGCCTGTTCCTAGTTAAAGGAGACCCCCATGGAACCTCCGGGGCTTTGTGTGTTCTTATTTTGTGTTTGTTATCTTGGTTTTTTTAGGGAAAGTGCAGGCAGGTGTGTGTACTTGGAAGCCAGGATCCGCCAGGGAGAAATGGTTGTGTTCCGGAAATTTCTGGCCAGAGGACATCATAGGATTACAGGACGGCGAATTTGTGTTTGTGTGTGTTCGGGAATCGGACTTTTTGTTGACCCCTAGGCCTGGGGAGCAGGAGAAGCGGAAGAGTTGGGTTGATCTATAAGAAGATAGGAAGGGCTTAAATTTTCAAGGCATGTGTGGAAAAGCCTTGGTTAAATGCCTCACGTTGGGGTCCTTCTCTCCCCAGGGCGCTTCACACCTCCAGGGAGTTGAAAGGCTTGGTGGTTGATACGTGACCCTTGCTTTCAGTGTGCCCCAGGTTCAGTGGTGTGTGTTCGGGATTCTAACGGGAATGTTATCTAGGACCCACAAAGAAGGTACGAGTTGCTCATATGTGTGTGTTTTCAGTGTAAGTTTTAAAGGACTTGGCCTTGGGGGCAACTGTGGAAAATTTGGCCCAAACTTGCTTGGTGAATACAAGTATCTCCTTTTTTTGTTTAAACACCGCGCCGCGCGCGCCGCCCTGATGTCGCCGTTGATTGTACTGGAAAGGTTGTAGGGGAAAACAATTTCCTGAGGGATTGATTTTTTTGTAAACTCTGATTTCGCAAGGGTTTTCTTCAGTTATCTCTAAATTCTTAAAAATGATTGAACTATTTCATTCTCACTTTAACTCTGGGAGGGATAAATAACAAACCATACAACACTTATAAGGAAGGAGTTGATTGAGAACCCAACAGCCCACCCGCATGGCTTGGGTGGTAGAAAGGACTATTTCGTAGTCAGAGGAGCTTAAGACAATATCACAGTAGGAACTTAAAAAAAAAAAAATTCAGGACTGTCTGGGGCCCTTCCCTACAGGAGAACAGGGGTGGGTGTAGAAAAACCCAATGGGTGGGGAAGCCACTCTTTTTCTTTGGAAAAAACATTTTCCAGGGGAACATGTTATTTCACTTCTCCCATACCCACTACCTTCAGCCTTGCATTTGGCATGAATGGGGAAATAATCTAATGGGATGAAAGGCAAGAACTGAGGCAAAAATAAAAAAAAAGAATACATCACGGCAGCAGCAATGATGAAAACAAAAGACAGCGTATCCTACAATACTGTTTGTTATAAGACAAGTAGGCAAAGTTTAAATAACCACTAATGAGCTTCCATTTCTAGGCATTCTGTCATTTCCCTACATTGTTGTTATTCACCTCAGTTTGTCATATGCATTGTCAATCTATTTCTGTTGTACCGGCCCAAACCTGCCAAGCTGGTGGCCATTTTTGTGTCCCCAGTGTGTCTGTGTAGTGTGTGCCATCTTAGCACACTTTTGCTGATCCTCCCGGCAACTTTAAAAAAGATAGCTTGTTGGCCGGGCACATGGCTCACGCCTGTAATCCTAACACTCTGGGAGGCCGACGTGGGCGGATTGCTCAAGGTCAGGAGTTCAAAACCAGCCTGAGCAAGAGCGAGACCCCGTCTCTACTATAAATAGAAAGAAATTAATTGGCCAACTAATACTTATAGAAAACAATTAGCCGGGCATGGTGGCACATGCCTGTAGTCCCAGCTACTTGGGAGGGAGGCTGAGGCAGTAGGATTTCTTGAGCCCAGGAGATTGAGGTTGCTGTGAGCTAGGCTGATGCCATGGCACTCACGCTAGCCTGGGCAACAAAGCAAGACTCTGTCTCGATTAAAAAAAAAAAAAAAGCGTGTTATTTTAATTTTACTGATGAGACAAGCTCAGAGTGGTGAAGTACCTTCCTCAGTTGCTTGGAAAAAAAAAAAAAATTCATCATTCTAGCTATTACAGGGACAATGAATCGGTGAGTGAAAGTAGTGCAGACACTGCTTTGGGGCTGACCCCATAGCTATTCCCAATCCCCTTTTGCTCTTTCCTGGTCTCCACTGAGCTTGGATAGGCCACATGACCCCTGGTCTGGCCTGTGAGACACACAGGTGGGGAGGACTTGTAAGAAAGTGTCTTTCCTGGTAAAAAGGAACGAGTCAACTGGTGTGGCCCTCCTTGCCTGAAATGAAATGACACCCAAAAGCACAGAAGCCCTCTTGCAACTGAGGGGACAGGCTAAGGCTGGCAAAGTAAAAACAGAAAGGCCTGGTCTGGGAACTTGCTGATATTATTGAACTTCTGAATCTTGCCTATGGCCAGACTTATTAGGTAATAAAAATAAATCCCTATTTAAGCCACTATAGAGCTTTCTGTTACTTGCGACTGATACAGTGGACAGGACAGTCAGCAAAGAGACTGGGTAAGAAGTGACTGAAGTGGTGCAGGTGAGCGACGATGGTGTCTGGAACGATGATGATTATCTCCCTACAGGTCTTTCCATTTCTAGTCTTAGTTTCCCCTAATTTGTCTTCCACACTGTCATACTTTCTCAGTGCAGATCTCTCTATGAAGTCCTCTTAGCTTGAAATTCTTCGCTGGCTCTCCATTGCCTACATGATAAAAATCTAACACTCATTGTCTAATACACTGCATCCTTGTGGAGCACATAGATTCTACCTTATCTGGCATCTTCTCACCACTCCCACCTTTGCACTCCACACACCTCCTTGGAGCCACAGCCCCTAGCGAACACCTCCCACATGCCAGACACCGTCCATTCTTTATCACTAATCCAACCCCTGAGAAGTGTGTATTGCAAGTCTATTTCATAGGTGAGAAACCTAATGCTCAAGGAATACATCTAGTAAGTAGTAGATCAGGATTTAAACCGATTTCAAAACGAGAGATGCGACATTCTCATGTGCCAAAAAGTTGGAAGGTAAGTGACTGCTATGCTGTTAAAGTGCTCAAAGATGTCAGCAGGGTCCCAGGGCCTTCCAGTTTTCCTTCTCTGCTGCTTTAGAGGACTGGCTTTCACGCCCACACTGGTTACTTCATGGCTGCTCATCTCTAGACACTGCATTCAGGTCTAAATCAGAAAGGAGAGGGCTACACCAGCTCACTCTACCCATCTCCCAACTTTTGTTGTTGTTAAGAAAGCAAAGGTTTTCCTAGAACTCCCTGCCCTCATGGAGCTTTCAGTCTGATAAGTGAGATATTTGGGAGGTCAGGTGAAGGGATAAGCACATCTCTTCAGACCATAAACAACTGTATGGCAGGCCTGTCTTCACCCCCAAGACCTGGCACAGCATCTCACAGAAAGGAGATGTATCGTGAATATGTGTTAAATTAATTCTTTACTCAGGAAGGCTTTGAAGTGTATTTTAAATGTATATATTATGTATTTTAAAAGAAATGCATTTCTTATTTCTATTAGGAATGCCTCCCCCTTGCCCAAGACTGAGCCATTGTATTCTCCCAGTATTAAATCATTCACTCAAGCATCTTGAAAAACACTTTGCTACCCACCCACCCACCCACACACATTGTTGCAGTCTCTTCTCCCAGGGAAGATTCTAACAGCGTCTGGTACAACAATTCACATCAGAGGTCCTTAGGAAACATGCGTTTTTTGCTGAAGGCTTCATTTGGATTTTCTAAAGAAGGATATCTCATTGTCAGTGCCATAGCTGCTGAAGTGTGATTCTGAAAGCACCCAAAATAACTCCTCAGGTTCCTATTCCATAGCTTATTATGTGTAGTTTTAATAGTTCTTTAAATGCCCTGTTTTGCTGCCCTTTCTACTACTACAGGTGATGCCAGCTGGGAACAAGGCAGGCAGAGGCAAGCGAAATAAAAATAATACAACCCCTGCTTTGGTCTGGGCTTATGTTGCCATGGTGATATTGACAAGTGACACGCAGGTGAGAGGTTCTTTCTACAGTGGAGCCATGGATTGTGGTGACCAGAGAGGTAGGACATAAACACAAGAGACCCCTAAGCCTCCCAGGCCTGGAAAGGGCTTCAAGAAGCTAGCTGGTCCACTCCCCTGCCTCTTACCTGAAAATCAAATAGATGGGCAGCCTGTTTCTAAAACTCCTCAAGAATAAGGCTCACAACCTCTCCAGTCACCTGTTAGGTTCATATTTCACAATATTCATGACCTTGAATGGGTTTTCTATGCCTAATCTCATATTCTCTTGATGTCCTTCCATCCCAATTCCTCTTACTATTGCTTCTATGGAAATAAAAGTTAATCATCACCTTATACTCTGTACAGTAACCCAGGAGGGAAGAAAGAAAAGCAAACCACAGCTGAAGCGTGGACTCACTTGTTTCTGTGCCACCACGATCAGCTATGGTCCTCTCAGGGTCACCACCCATTTTTTCCACCAGTCTTGGCTCTGGGAGTGAGTGGCTAGAAGGGGAGCAGCCCACTGACCCAGCCAGAGGACCCCGGCTGCCACTGAAAGAGAAATAGGCCTGCTGCATAATATGTCAAAGTGGGGCAGAGCAGCCTTCCCATGAAGGATGTCTTCTTCCTTCTGAGTGAAATAAAGCAGAGAGAGCAGGAAGGTCTGTTTTTAACAAGTATCTTTAAAAGCCTTTGCGACAGCAGACAGAGCCCAAGGCAGCTTGCAAACCCACATTGATGGCAACAAGGCTCTCATGCTTCCAGATGACCCTGCAAAACAGAAATGGTTCCACTAAATTAGCACTCTGGCCTTCTCCCACCTCACATAAAAAAAAAAAAATCTCTGCTTTCAAAATAATTTCAGGAATCATTCTGCCTAAAAAACACGTGATGGCCTTAATATCACAGCCTGGTTTAAAGGTGAGTAGGAAAGCATCCAATCCAAGATTCAAGAACGGAAACTGCCTTCCCTAAGCCTTCCAGAAGCAATGGGAACCCCCTCCCTTTCACCACCTGCATAAGCATCTCTTGACACTAATGGCCCTTCCCCATTTCCCTGTTGTTCTTCATCCCTTAACTACTGTACTCCCATTTCCATTCTCTTAATCCATTTCACTAATCTTAATTCCTGCTACTGACAGGCTGGACCAACCCTGGGCCTCTCTTCACAGTCCCTAATACCTCAAAACGCTGTCAAGAAAACTAAACATTTGCATTAAACTTCTCTTAGTTTCTCCACCTGACTTCTTTCACACCCTGGACCAATAAACCAGTGCTTATTTTCACAGGAGTAAAGAAGCCTCTGTCTGTAAGTGAGGTTAACACCCACCCTGAGGCTGGATTCTGTCTGGTCTCTCCCAACAGCTGAGCATCATGATTTTGCTAATTAAGCCATGTGCTTGTCTTTAATTAGCTGCATGTGAATCTTGTTGAGAAGTCTTGGATCCGTGAAGTAGTCTGGGATAAAAATCAAAAAGAAGAAATCATCTACAACAGTGGTGAAAAGACTTACTCTGGGAGGGATACAGTTTACTCTGGCTAAAAAGTTAGGATGGCTTGGGCCTAGCAGGACTGTTACTGATGGCCCCGCTTTACTATGTAATACAGTAATATGAGATGTCACAGCAAATCCCAGAGGTCACTGCCCCCACGGGGCAGTGCTGTGTCTGCCAGCTCAAACACCCCCAGGAAGGGCTCACCCAGGATGCTCCCTCTTCCTCCACACTGTGTGGTCTGTTCCTCTGCTTTGCTGACGCACAGGAGCCATCAGAGGGCTCAGGCACTCTCTGGGTTTTCTGCTCCCGGCCCATCCTGGGGCCCAAATAAATGCCAAGTATTATTCTTGTCTCAACTCTGCTTGCCAGCTCCTGTCTCCGAGATATCACGCCTTCTCTGAGAATACCCTCTCAGAGGAGCGCCAGGCTCTCGCAAGATGACGACAGATGAGGGTTTTTATACACCAGGCATAATGTGAATCAGAGGCAGCATCTGCTGTGGCAGCAAAGGCATACTTACATTCAGTTAGAAACTGCTTGAGGACGTAACCAGCCACCAACTTCCAGGGCTAACAGGACCCAAGAAATCACCCAACCCAGCCTCTTCCCTCTAAATACCATTGACCTTAGGCCATCTTGGGCAGCTGGTCCATTAGAATCACCTGGGGAGCCTTTAAAACTATGGATGCTAGGCCCCACACCAGGCTAATTAAATAAAAATCTCTGGAGGTGGGGCCTGAACATCAGTATTTTTTAAAAGCTCCCCAGGTGATTCTAATGCACAGCCAGGGTTGTGAGCCCTGCTTCAGGACTCCCAGGGAAAAGGAAGCCATTATGACCCTTTGGGAATCTCAAAATTCTTAACAATCCTCACCATGAGGAAGTTCTGCCTCATTTCTTATCTGTCCTCATTTTGAGGAAATGACAATGAAGGAAAGAAGTCTCCTGAAAAAAGCTCCCCTGGGGGACATCAGGTGAAGAAGTAACCCAGACTCTGCAGGGAGAATCCTGTGCTTGTCTAAATTCACAATATCACTCCTTCCATTGGCTTTATCAGATACCCCAAACCTATCCTCCCTTACTCACCTGCAGCAAATTCTGGGATGTTGTCTGGTCTTTTCAATAACATTTCTCTGGAAAACATTAAGGGACAGGTAGGAGGTGAAGCAGGCTTTAAGGCTGGCTGTGGCTACTGCCTCAGGTCCTGTGCTTTCATGTAGCAGATTAACCTGAGAGACACCCATCTTGGGAGTCAATAAACCAAAGGATTCCTGATAAAGACCCTTTCATTCATGATTTTCCTTCCACTCAGAAGGCAAGGAGCAAAGCATCCTAAATGGCAGCAAACCTAAGATGTTGCTCATTTCACAAAAGATTTGTGCTGCAGCCAGGTGGGACTTGTCATTCATTCAACAGCCATTTCCACAGAAGCAGACACCAGCCAGGGGCGGGAGGCAAAGATGAAGAGCATGCTGCCTGTCCTCAGGGGCTCACATGTGGTGGGACAGATATGCAACCCCACGATGTTCTGAGCAAGTTTAGTCATGGATCCCCAGAAGTGGGGGAATGCAACCACCAAAGCTGAAACTTCAATGGTTGTTGGCTCTGCAGTACAGCGCACAGACACCATAACACCTGCAATGCCAATGCCACTGGAGAGTTGAAAATGTCTTACATCACATATAGCTTTATGGTTCATAAAGTATATTCACAAATATTATCTCACTTTACAACAACCCTGTGAAACAGCAATTATTATGTCCACATTCTACATATAAAGAAACAAAGCCTTCAGAAGGTTAATCATTTGCCCAAGTTCATAAAGCTAGTAATAAAGGAAAGAGGGCCCAGGTCTTGTGACTCCAAAGTCAGTACTCTACAGTGTGTTCTCTTGGCCGTGGGCTGCCCTGCCCCGCCAGGCCTGCCTTACCAGCCCATCCTCCCCTGCCCAGGAAGCCTCTCCCTCCCAAGCATCAAGAATGTTGCCCCCCTTCTCCTTCACTTTGATAATTATTGAGTGTAAATTATGTGTAAGTAATTGCACTACATATAAGGGATTGATTTTTAAAATGATAAAATATAGATCTACCTCAACGAACTTATAGTTAAGAAACAGAGTTTCCAAATGTCCAGAAGGCCAAGTAACTTCTGGTTAAGTGCTAAAAGAGGGGGATTAAATAGTGCTCCGGGAAATCAGAGGGGAGAGAGAAGTTACTGAGGGGGATCCCCAACATCTTCACAGAGCATTTGGCATTGGAGAGAACCCTTGAAGTGTACATGGGATTTGGTAGGCAGGACAAGGGTTAAGGGCTAAGAACATTCCAGATCCAGGGAAATAGCAAGAACAAAGGCCCAGAAATAGAAAGGAAACAGTTCATGTTCTATAGACTGAGACTTCCTTGAGTATAGAAACTGGGTCGTATACACCTTGGTATCCCTAGAGTCCAAAAATCACTCGAAGGTGTCTGTGCCTGGGTTCTCTGGGGTTGGTGGAATGATCAGAGAAGTTCAGTCCGGCTGAGTAAGGGGTTCTTGCAGGGAGTAGTGGGAGACATAGAAGGTTCTGTTACAGAGGGCCTCAACTGCCAGGAGAGACATTTACACTCAACTGAAGACAATGGAAATGGATAAATAAACATGGTGTACTCACACAATGGAATACTACATAGTAGTGAGAATGGAGGATATCTACAAGATGCTATAGAGCAAAAGAAGCCAGGTGCAAAAAAGCACATATTTGTAGAATTCCATTCATACAAAATACAAAAAGGCAAAACAAATTTGTGCTGTAGAAGTCAGGATACTGGCTACTGTTGGGGGAGTAACTAGAAGGAGCCACAAGGCACGTGAGGTGTGGACAGAGGTCTGTGTCCTCATCTGGACACTAGCACCACATGTGCTTCAGTTTGTAAAAGTTCCTCTTACTTACAATATGTCACTGTTTGGCATGATATATCTTAATAAAATGTTTAAACATAAAAAAGGGCAATGTTGCGGTGCCACTGAAGGTTCTTCCAGCCAAGGAATAATATGATTGGTGCTGTATTTTGGGAATATTCATCTGCCTGAGTGTCTATAAAAAACATCTAATAACAGCTTTCTACAATTTCACCATGGCTATCATATCTTCAGCCCTAAACCTGAGGTTTCCAAGTACCGAAAATAAGTTAGATCCCTTCTTTTTCCATTTTTCAGGTCCAAAATTCAAGACATTAGAGTTCTGTACATGGTATGTCTGAGTATAGACTGGAAAGCTGGAACTAAATGGCCATAAATCATTAGGATCAAAAAAACTCTAGTGAGACGTTCACTTCCCAACAAGAATGCTTCAGAGCTGCTCATGGATTGAAGTGAGTCAAGAGCAGAGCACTGCAGAACAGACAAAGACAGGCATGCTGCTTAGGACTTTGTCATCTCTTCTCCCTTCCTCTTCTCTTGCAGGAAGGACTGTGTGAAGTATCCAGCATGGATGAAGAGCTGATTCTGGTTCATTCTGGTATCACTCAAAGGAAATAACAATAACACCAAACAAAAGTGAACCCTCAAACTTCAAACACTAAGTCCCTTGCATCCTCCACCCAGGAAAGGGAAAGGCCTAGCAGGAGCCAGGAGGACTTCAAGTAGCTTGAGGCACAGCAAAAGGAAAAAAGAAAAACTAAAGAGATAGGACACTACTAAGTCTAAGGACAAAAGGAGGATAGATGGTAAGAAATGGAAGAAGGAGAGTGTCTGAGACTATGATCCCCAAACAAAAAAGAGAAAAAAAAAAAAAATGGAGCACCGACCTAGACACAGGCTGCTAAAGGAACATAAAAATACAATTCATATCATATACAGCCAAACTCATCAAAAGTATCATAAAAAAATCGCATGTTGTTTGTGAACAATGCAAATGTATAATTTAATATCAGGCCTAATATAACAAATCATCTGGAAAATATCTATTGCAGACAAGAACATTAATTCACACAGTAACATTGGATTGCAAGACTCCCCAGGAGTAGGAACAATGTCATAAACTGTATATTTACCTTTAGAAAAAAGGTGCAGACAAGTGATAGAACAATTGATCCTATAGGATTTGTATTAGATAAGAAGGGAACCCAACTAAAACTATCCTTAAAATGAACAGAAAGCCATTACTAGATAGGGCAACCAAAAATAAACCAGGGCCTAAATACGAACAGAAAAAGCAATAAACTGGATAAGTTATCTGGTTATTCTTGTCTCTAATAATCACAACTGTACTGACCCACAAACACCCCCAAACCCCGCATAACTGGAGAGTCTGACGATAGAACCACTAGGGAGAAATGGACTAAAACCAACCACAAATAAAAGGGATAAAAATCAAATAGTGGAGAATCAAGAAAAAAGGAAGTCTTGGGAAAAGAGAAAACCACAAGGTCTGCTTTTATTTTTTATGTTTATTTTTGAGAACACAAGTTCAACTTTGTTGACAGGACAAATAGAAAAGTGAAAGTGACAATGGTGTAGAAAATAGACTAATAAGAAACCTCAATTCTAGCTCAAACCACATAACCTCTGCCTCAGCATCCAGAGTAGCTGGGAAAACAAAAAAGAAAAACTACAGGAACATGCACTGCCACTGAGTGAAACAACACCAGGCCTAATTTATCAATAAATAAATGTAGATTAAGATGTGTCAAAATATAAATTTCATTTACAATAATTAATAATAGGTAGAGACACAGGCCCTCCACAATGCTCAACATTGCTCAGAGACTGGTTTCAACAACTAACCACTGAACCATATGGAGCATAACAGAGATAGAAATAAGAAATAACAGCAAACGTGAACAGAAAAATAAGAGCAAAGAACAAAAGTGAGAACAATGCGGCAACAGGCACCAGAGGGTTACATTTTGAGAAGATAAGGAAGAGCCCCCACTAAATTTCCCTGTAAGGCAAACCAGTCCAACAGACTGGGAAAGAAGAGGGGCTGGGATTGTGGCGTTTACAGCATGGATAAACACGGTAGAAAAATCAGGTGTTTGAAACCCTGGTCCGCAACATTGAGAGAAAAAGCGTAAATTCACAAAATATGGCTATGTCATCATCAGTAAATTAAAATAACGCTTTTTTTTTTTTTTTTTATCGAGACCGCGCTTGGCTTTGTTGGCCAGGCTAGCATTGGAGTGCCATGGCATCAGGGGCCTGCTCACAGAATCAGTCTCCTAGGCTCAAGAAATCCTACTGCCCAGCTCCGGCTCCAAGTAGCTGGGGACTACAGGATGTGCCGGACCATGCCCGGGCTAATGTTTTCTATAAGTAATTGAACCCTGGGGCAATTAATTTCTTTCTACGTTTTATGTAGGAGGACGGCGGTTCGCTCTTGCTGCAGGCTGGTTTTGAACTCCCTCTGACTTGACGCAATCGGCCCGTCGGGCCTCCCAGAGTGTGTAGGATTACAGGGCGTGAGCAAAACGCCAAGCTATCTTTTTTAAAGTTGCCGGGAGGATCAGCAAAAGTGTGCTAAGATGGCACACACTACACAGACACACTGGGGACACAAAAATGGCTCCACCAGCTTGGAGCTTTGGGCCAGTAACAGAAATAGATTGACAATGCAATGACAATACTGAGTGATAACCAACAATGTAGGGAAATGACAGAATGCCTAGAAATGGAAGCCATTAGTGTTATTTAAACCTTGCCTACTTGTCTATAACCAAACAGTATTTAGGATAGCTCTTTTGTTTTCATCCATTGCTGCTCCGTGATGTATTTTTTTTTTTATTTTTGCCTCAGTTCTTTGCCTTTCATCCCATTAGATTTTTCCATTCATGCAAATGCAAGGCTGAAAGGTAGTGGTATGGGAGAAGGAAATAACATGTTCCTGGAAAATGTTTTTTCCCCAAAGAAAAGAGTGGCTTCCCACCATTGGGTTTTTCTACACACTGTTCTCCTGTAGGGAAGGGCCAGACATCTGAATTTTTTTTTTTTAAGTTCTACTTGTGATATTGTTAAGCTCCTCTGACTACGAATAGTGTTCTACACCCAAAGCCTGCCTGTTGGGTTTCTCAATGCCAAACTCCTTCTTCTAAGTGTTGTATGGTTTTTATTTATCCTCAGAGTTAAAGTGAATGAATATTAATATTTTTAAGAATTTAGAGATAACTGAAGAAAACCTTGGCCGCAAATCCCAGAGTTAGGAAAAAATCAATCTCAGGATGTTTTCTAACTTTCAGTAAGTGAAAAGCAATAGGGGGTGTTTAAATAAAAAAGGAGATACTTGTATTCCCCAACAAGGTTTGGCAAAATTTTCCACTAGTTGCCCAAGGCAAGTCTGTTAAACCACCTACCTGAAAAAACCACCTATGAGCAACTCTACTTCTTTGTGGGTCCTTAGATACTTTTCGTTAGCAATCCGAGTCTGAACCTGGGGAACGAAAGCAAAGGGTCACGTTCCATGAGGAGATCGATTCAGGCTTCAACTCTGGAGGTGTGAAGGGCTGGGGGGGACAACGTGAGCATTTAACCAAGGTCTTTTCCCAGAATGCTTGAAAATTTAAGCCCTCTATCTTCTTATAGATTCAACATCTCTTCGCCTTCTCCTGCTCAGGCCTAGGGGTCTTAACTGAAGTCGGATTCCGACCGTCGGTAAATTCGCGTCTGTATCTTGATGTCTCTGGCAGAAATTTCGGCCCATTTCTCTGGCCGGATCCTGGCTTCAGTCCTGCCTGCACTTTCTAATGCCCGTCGGGCCCTGTTTAGGCCCAGAAGCCCGGAGGTTCACTGGGGGTCTCCCCTTTAACTAGGAACAGGCTTCCGCTCCCCATCTCTCTGCGTACCTCCTTCCTGTCTGGGGCCCCTGTCCCGAGAGAGTGGGCTGCACTTTGATAGAGGCGGGCGCACCCACCTTGAAGTTTCGAAGCTGCTCCCGTTGCTCGGGATTCAGCGCCCCGGGGTTTGGCTGCAGCCTGCCCTTCCACGTCGCCATCTTGCTGAGGTCGTCAAGGCGACGGTCCACGGGCTAGGGAGGCCCCGCCCCCGGCTCCGCCCCGCCCCAAGTCCGGGGTCCCGCTCCGCCCCGCCCCAAGTCCGGCCCTCTTCAGCAAGGGGTGGACTCCGGAGGATCTCTGAATAAGGATCTCGTTTTCCGAATTTGGGGACTAATTTCTGGGCGTAATTGTATATGGAATGAGTCTTAGCTCTTCACTCCACTCAACCCCAAATAGTTTTTTTCTTAGGTCTAGAACAAAACAGGAAAAGAGGTTCCTAAGGCAGGGTCTCCCAGAGTCTAGTTCCTGACTCTCTCACTTGGGCAAAGTTAGAGGAAGCCTAGTGCTGGGGAAGGAGAATCCAGGCTTCCTCCCTTTCTACTGGCCCAGAAGCCAATCTTTCCACTTGTCCTGTAGACACTTGACACTGAAGTCTTGGATTCTTAAAAAAAACTGAAAGCACCCCAGAACACTCAGAGTAAACTGAGTTTTGCAAAGGAAGGAACCATCTCAGACTAAAGATGCTGGAAAGGACCTAGGGGACATCCTGCCAGAATTTCCCCTCTTGGACTGACTTTCTTGTGTAGATTAATTTTGTCTTCACCCTGGGCTCCTTATAAATTCTAAATTATTTTCTCCCACTCTCAATTAAATAGGAAAGGAGAAAGGGAATTGGTCTTCAAGATTTGTTCTTCTGGTATTTAATTAAGAAGGGAAAATTAAACATAAAGCCAGAGAGCTGAAAATAGCTGCTGGGTAAGGGCAGAAGCCTGTCTGTCCATACACAGATGTCAAGATTCTACCCCTATAGGGACCGTGCCCAGCAGAGGCCTTCTGAGAAGCAGAAGAGGAGAACCCAAAACAGAGCCTGTCTTTTCAGGTTTGTGAACAACTGCCCCAAGGAGCAAGGAAATAGCAGGAGAAACAAGCTCAGCATTAGGCTATGGCCTTGGAGAGGTCTCTCAGTGGACTGCCTCTATCCTTCCCAACAAAGACTGAGGAAAAGAAGTGAAAATGTTGGCAGTTCCCAAGCCAGGGAAAACCACAAGTGGTTAATTAGGTAGTGGGCTGAAAGCCTCTTCCCATCCCACTTAGTGATCATCTGGGTTGTTTGGTTTTTAGGACAGAGTTAATAGAGTAAGAGGGAGATAAGCTGCCATCTGTCAGAAGTGGTTTTTTTCTGGCAGGAGCAGAGGTTAACCAGAGGTGATATTTCCTGTTGGCCAAGACCTGTTTCTTCCCACCCCCACAGCCCCCAGAGAAGCTAGTAGTGGAACCTCTATAGCTGCACCAGCAGATATGGTCACCATGAGCCACCTGTGACTCTTGAACACTTGAAATGTGGCTTTAAGTGTTTATGTGCTGGAAATGGGAAATATACACTGGATTTTGAAGACTTCATATGAAAAAAGTAGCATAAAATATTTCATTAATAATCTTTATATGAGGCTAGGCATGGTGGCTGATACCTGTAATCCTAGCACTCTGGGAGGCCGAAGTGGGTGGATTGTTTGAGCTCAGGAGTTCGAGACCAGCCTGAGCAAGAGCAAGACCCCGTCTCTACTAAAAATACAAAAAAATTAGCTGGGCATGGTGGTGCACATCTATAGTCCCAGCTACTCAGGAGGCTGAGGCAGAAGGATCGCTTGAGCCTGGGAATTTGAGGTTGCTGTGAGCTAGGCTGATGCCACAGCACTTGCCTGGGCAACAGAGTAAGACTCTGTCTCAAAAAAAGAAAAATCTTTATATGGATTACATGTTCAAATAATATCGTGGATATATCAGGCTAAATAAAATGTATTATTAAAAGTAATTTCAGCCGGGCGCGGTGGTTCACGCCTGTAATCCTAGCACTCTGGGAGGCCGAGGTGGGTGATTGCTCAAGGTCAGGAGTTCAAAACCAGCCTGAGCAAGAGCGAGACCCGGTCTCTACTATAAATAGAAACAAATTAATTGGCCAACTAAACAGATATATATATATATCTGTTTAGTTGGCCAATTAATGAGCAGCAGGGCAGCAGATCTGCTGAGAAGACACAGAGTAATGACATCAACCAGGCCGTGGGGTCTTCCCCTTCTCCATCCTCAGAGGGCGTGATCTGTTTAGCCCGGCATGGTGGTGCATGCCTGTAGTTCCAGCTACTTGGGAGGCTGAGGCAGGAGGATCGCTTGAGCCTAGGAGTTTGAGGTTGCTGTGAGCTAAGCTGACACCACAGCACTCTAGCCTGGGCAACAAAAGTGAGACTCCGTCTCAAAAAAAAAAAAAGTAATTTCACTTGTTTCTTTTTATTTTTTTATTATGTCTACTAGAAATTTTAAATTTATATATGTGGCTTTTGTTCTATAAGATAGTGCTGGAGTCTGGACCAGCAAACCCACACACACACACACACACACACACACACACACACACACACACGCATGCATGTATAATGCTCTTCATCCCCCCACCTCCCGGCATAAAATAATTGATGTCCTTCTCGTGCTAGTCTATGATCTTATGCTTTGGAAATAATCAAGCCCTTCTTGACTGATCACATCCTATGGCCCACATACCCATGCATGAGAGAGGCTGTTTCGATGTTCTTAACAGCATCTCAGTACTCACTATTGCATATTGTGTTGGCCTGTCTTACCTCCCCACTTGAGGTGGAAGCCACCTAAGGGCAGGAAGGTTATATAATCAATTCTCATAAATTCTGCTGCAGATGTCTTTACTCTGTATTCAATCAGCAAGGCAGTAGGAATTTGATGTCCAACCACTCTGCTCACACAAGCCACCACATTGTGCCCTTTCTGAAAAGTATCTCAATTATCCAGCATTTCTCATTTCCTAAGAATCTAAAACCAGGATCAGAGCTCTCCATTTATAAATTAAATAATCTTTTTATGTAGGGCAATGTAGCTTTGACTGCAGAGGAATGAGAAAGAGGGTGAGTTTGAGGATGGTGGGCAGAGAAAATATCTTGGAGGAATTAGGGCTTAGAAGCGTCATTCCCTCCTTGAGAGAAATTCCCCAGAATGGACATCTGAGTCATAGGGTTTTTTTCCCCTAGTCCTTACCTCACAGGGCTCCCATCCCCCATGGCCTGAAAGAATATCTGAGCTGTGCCTACAGTCACTCAGCATGGAGGGTCTAATGAGAGGTCCCACCTCTTCTCCCCTAGACCCTGCCTCTCTCTCAGACTGACACCTTCAATCTGGGGACTACAAACTAAGCAACAGATTGGAGGCATTTTGCTGCCTGCAGCTGTCTCCCCAGTTACTGATGGGAGGAGGAGTGAGGGGAGTTCATTGTAATTCATTTTTGTGAATGTTTAATATTTCAATTAATATGATTAGCCCCAAGCTGGAATGAGCAGCAGGGCGGCAGATCTGCTGAGAAGACACAGAGTAATGAGATCAACCAGGCCGTGGGGTCTTCCCCTTCTCCATCCTCAGAGGGCGTGATCTGTTTAGCATCTCCACAAATACCAAGATCAGATTAGAAGCCAAGAAAAGGAGCAGTGGGGGTGGGGTTTGTGAGTGGAAAGTTACTTTCAGAGTGTATTTGCCCTTCTTAATTCTCTGGCACTGTCATCATATCTTCTAAGCACCCACTGAGTACCTCCCCCTACCGCCACCCCCTACTGAGAGGGGTGCCCTACTGGGAGGACCTGGGCATCCACCTGATGAAGTTTAATCAAGTCTACACACACACACTTCATTCAAACTCATGTGCCTGCCATGGTGTGGCTCCAGGCCACAGAAACCCAGACTAAGGAAGAAGGTGATCAACAGAGAATCAAGCAGTAGAAAAAAGGACTCTTTCCCAGGGCTTAAGTGAAGACAGAAGAGGTTCCTTTTCTTGGTTTTCTCATCTCTATTTGGAGATAATGATAGAATCTACATTGTAGGGGGATGGTGAGGGTTTATGGAGTTAGTAAATATAAGGCAATTGGAACAATGCCTAGGACACTTTAAGAGCCACGCGAGGAGAGCATTGACTGTTACTATTATTTCGCTTCCAGAAAAGGAGCCTGCCTGCTGTGATAGTTTAGGAATTGAGACCTCCGGGTTTCTGTTGGGACATGTTTCAGAGACCCCAGTGCCACTGTGAAGACGGCAGCCCCACCCTGGGTTGAAGAAGGGAATGGCAGGGAGGACATGAGCCCCCGTGGAAAGCAAGGGCTGCCACCTCCGAGGAGGTGCGATGTCTGCAGACACTGCCTGCCTTGAGGGGTGCTCTGAGTGGGCCCAGTGCGTGGAGGGGTCCAGAGAAGTGTAGTTGTTTAGGGGAGTAATGGCCCCAGATGTGCTTTCCGCACTCCTCTTTGCTACCGGACTCAATTAGAGAGTCCCATTCAAGGAACCCGAATGAAGGGGAAAGCCAAGGAAGGAGTGATTGGGTTTCTAGGTCCCCATCACAGCATGACAGCTGTGGCTCTTCTTACTGAAGGAATCAGTAATCTACTCTTGTCAGAGATTCTGTGCATGAAGTGTCCTAAGCACCTGCCACTCGTGAGCAAAACACAGTGCTAGACACTGTGAACTGTAAAAAACTGAATTAAACGGTGTCCTGGTCTTCAAGGAGCTTGTGAGTGAGAGCTCCCGCTGCTGCCGCCTCTGCCACCTCCCTGCCCACGCTCTTATACACACAGACCCCCCAGAGGGACAGAAGGGCGCGTCTGCAAATGCCAGAAAGCTGTAGTTTTTCTTGGTTCCTTTTCTGGAAAATATACAGTTCTCTTTTTGCACTCATCTCACTCTGCCTTCCCTTTCCCCACCTCCTTTTCCATTTTCCTCCGGGGTTTGTTCTGCTCCCCCCCCCCACAACCCCAGACTCTGCGATCTGCTTCACTCCCCATCTTCACTTCCCTCCTCCCCCTTCAACCTGTCCAACTGTGCTATCCCATTTTCTTTCCCCAGATTTCTTTCCTTGACTCCCCACTTTCGGGCTCCCCAGATGTCGGGTTCCCCTCTTCCCCCCACCCCCATCTCCTGAGTCTTCTCTTCCAGCACCGGGGACAGCTCCAGCCCCCGGAAC